GGGGTTTCACTGTGTTAGCCAGGATGGTCTCGATCTCCTGACCTCGTGATATGCCCGCCTTGGCCTCCCAAAGTGCTAGGATTACAGGCATGAGCCACCGCGCCCGGCCAGCTGCACTTCTTTCATGACTTCATGTCGCCTGGTCTTTTCGTTTTGCCTGGAACGCCCTTCCCCCACTTTCTGTACCTCATGAACACTTACCTAGTTTTTGGAACCCAGCCCAAGGGCACCTCCTCCGTGAGACTTTTACAATGCTTACGGTGTCTGGGATTCCCCATATCTCATTGCTTTCCCATCTGTTCTCCTATAGGATTTGTGTCCATGTCTCTATATATGATTTTTTTTTCTCTTTTTTTTTTTTTTTTGGTTAAGATAGGGTCTCACTCAGTTGTCCAGACTGGAATGCAGTGGCACAGTCTTGGCTCACTGCAGCCTCCACCTCCCAGGTTCAAGCACTTCTCCTGCCTCAGCCTCTGGAGCAGCTGGGATCACAGGCACCTGCTTCCACGCCCGGCTAATTGTCGTATTTTTAGTAGAGACAGGGTTTCACCATGTTGGCCAGGCTGATCTCAAACTCCTAACCTCAGGTGACCCACCTGCCTCGGTCTCCCAAAGTATTGGTGTAGAGCTTATAGCTTGCAGTGAACGCCAAGAATGAGTTCTCAGACAATTCCATCTGAGCAGGGCGGGGGCGGGGGCAGCTCTTCTAAGAGAGTCAACTTTAGCATCCGTCCGCCAAGTATTTATTGAAAGGGCTTGTTAAACCACAAACATCCACTAGATGGCTTTTTTGAGGTCGGGTCGTGAGGCACCTGTGGCCTTGTAAAAACAAACTGCATTCTCAGGAGGCTGTTTTCAGCGTTCCTTATCACACCACACGCTCCACTCCTTGTCCTGTTTTCAGGGTCGAGTTTCATTCTCATGCACAAATAACATACACACAATGCCTCAATATTTTTCCATGCCCCGACCTCAAATGCCTTGTACATAAGCTTGAATATGTTGCCATGTGCCCCCCATATCTCCCCCTTTTTTAATTCTTAAAGCTTGCTGGTCATCTCATGCAAGGTAAGCTTCTATCATTCTTCCCTGGTCATAGATGCATCAGGTGGCAGTATAGGGCCTTCTGCAAATGCCTAGCAAACAGATACAAAAAAGAATAAGTACAACAGCCATCATCCAAATGCATATATTTAAACCAGACAACCAAGTGTTCGGGTTTAACCATTGAAAGCCTCTTGTAATTGCTGAAGAGTACTTATTTGTAATTGCTGCGACCATTCCTCAAGTTGTTTCTTTAATTCACACTCAAGAGTGGAAATTTGAGAACACAAATGGTGGTGATAAGCCCCTTGCAGATGTGCTTTCACTCTCTCCCAAGCATATTGGGAGCTATTATATGTCAGGGGTGTGATACAGAATGATATTGCCAATCACAATGTAAATGTTGACGGGTAATGAATGCCTGCTGTTGATTCCCCAGTTATAGAACAGCGGCTTCAAGAGCCTTCAGGTGAGACAGAATAGTTTTATCAATATTTACCTGTTCTTGAAATTCATGGGTTACATTATATACCATGTGGTTCACCACTGAGGCTGTGTGAATAGATTCTGTCAGAGAAACAGCTGCAGTAGCAGCAGTTGCTAATATAATAATAGCTGAGACTAAAAAGGCAATTAAAGTGGCCAGAAATCTTTTATTTTTTCAAGTATGAGACAGTGCTTTTCTAAACAGCTGCAGGGTGGAATCTGCTTCCCAGCTCCGGGTTAAATTTACAGGTAGCCACAATTCCACACATCATTAATTTAAGATCATGACATAAGGTTATATTCAACTGCGTAACATTTCGGTGAGACAAGCATGTAGCACACCAACTACTGGAAGAGACTTTAATACTATAAAAGGATTGATTCTGCTCTACATTAGGAACACCTTACCCAAACAAAATTATATAAGGGTGCATAGTACAAATCAGGAGAGTATCAGTAACATTATTATGCAAAGAGAGGGTATAGTTGCCACTGCTAGTAATATACTCACCATGTGAAAGAACCCGTTCAAAAAGGGAAATCCTAATCTCCAAATTTGGGTATGAGCAGGGCTTAAAGCTTGTTTCCCTTTCAGTTGTAATACTGGTCCTGAAAGGCCACACTCTGACTAGGTAATAGAACTATTGGAGGGACTTCTAAATCCAATAGTCTGATTTGCAGACAGAAGATTACCATGGGGACCCCAATCAAATAAGGTGCCATTATCAAACAGAGGCTCTTGACATGGCGCAGGCTGTCTGTACGGTGACCACTGGACGGCCTCAAACTTATATCGCCAGTCCCTACTCGGATGGCATATAGGAAGATCAGGCACTTGTGAAGCTTCATTAGAGACCTCAGTAAGATTACTGGTAATAGTAGAAATAAAAGTCAAGTTTGCAAGCTTAGCATCCCTTTTAGGCTTATAGTAAAGATACTCCTGAGGGATGAGAGTAACACACTTATGTGCTATTGTGGAAAAACAAAGAGGGGGATTACTAGACAATAAAATCAAGGAGTAATTAAATTTAATTCATCCCAAATTTTCAGTTAAGGGATAAGACAGGGGCATCCATCAGCCTCCTGTCCAATAAGTATCATTAGATGACAAAGGCAAGTCAGCATCCCACCATGTAATAACATTAAAAATGGGTGTGGTGGCTCACACCTGTAATCCCAGCACTTTGGGAGGCTGAGGCAGGCGGATCATGAGGTCAGGAGATGGAGACCATCCTGGCTAACATGGTGAAACCCCGTTTCTACTAAAACTACAAAAAAATTAGCTAGTCGTGGTGGGGGGTGCCTGTAGTCCCAGCTACTTGGGAGGCTGAGGCAGGAGAATGTCGTGAACCCGGAGGCAGAGCTTGCAGTGAGCTGAGATCACGCCACTGCACTCCAGCCTGGGCAACAGAGCAAGACTCTGTCTCAAACAAACAAACAAACAAAAAACCAGGGGGATCTAGAACATGACTCCAATAAACATGTTCTTGAGCTGATCCCAATTGGCAAAGGACAAGAATTACCAGCCACCCCAACATCCATGTCTGTCTTACTTTCTCAGAAGTTTCCCTAATTACCATCAGATACACAAGAAACCAATTCTCTGCAGTTGCAGGGCCTTCCACGTCTGCAAGCTGAATAGATGCCTGTTGATCCAGTTTCTTTAGCTGTCTCCAGGTAATGTCAGGTGCCTTCCGAGTCATCACCGTCATTGTCAGCTGTTTCTCCAACGACAGGTCCTGTTCTCGAGAAGACAGTCCCATATTCCCCCTTTTTTGTTTTTTAAGATATACTTTAAGAGTTTGATGAGCACATTTAACAATGGCCTGATTGGTTGAGTTATAAGGAATACCAGTTTTGCGTTGTATGTGCCAAAGTTGCAGTGCATATGCAAATTGAGCGCTAAGATAGCAAGGTCTATTATTAGTTTTTGTTTTTGTTTTATTTTTTGGTGAGACGGAGATTCACTCTTGTTGCCCAGGCTGGAGTGCAATAGCGCCACCTCGGCTCACCACATCCTCCGCCTCCCAGGTTCAAGTGATTCTCCTGCCTCAGCCTCCCGAGTAGCTGGGATTACAGGCATGTGCCACCACACCTGGCTAATTTTGTATTTTTAGTAGAGATGGGGTTTCACTGTGTTGCCCAGGCTGATCTTGAACTCCTGACCTCAGGTGATCCACCCGCCTCGGCCTCCCAAAGTGCTGGAATTATAGGCCACTGCGCCTGGCCCATTATTAGTTTTTATAGTGTGTGGAAGGCTTAGAGTTATAATAGATTTAAACAAATGAGCAATTGCATCTTTGTTTTTTTCTCTGGTCTGGAGGGTGGCATGTATCAGGTCTGTATAAGTGCCCATGGTAACGTGGAGAAATTTGAAACATCCAAAGGGTGGATACTGAGTAACATCAGTTTGCCAGATAACATTAGGTACCAGACCTCGTGGGTTGGCACCAAGGCCTAAGGAAAAGGGGGAAGGAGATGTAGCAGGACGAGCCGCAGACAAAACTCCTCAGACACCGGATTAAAGAAGGAAGAGGTTTTTTATTCGGCCGGGAGCATCGGCAGACTCGTGTCTTAAGAGCCAAGCTCCCTGAGAAAGAAATACTTGGCCTTTTTAAAGCCTTACAACTTTAAGGGGTCCACGTGAAAGGGTCGTGATAAATTGAGCAAGCGTGGGAAACGTGACTGGGGGCTACATGCATCAGCTAACAGAACAAAAAGTTTTACAATGCTTTTTTCATACAGTGTCTGGAATTTACAGATAACACAAGTAGTTTAGGCCAGGGGTTGATGTTATTATTACTACTTTGTTTAACTCCTAGGGCCAGGTGGTAGTGCCAAGGTTGTCTGGCTATTTATCTTACTTTTGTTTCTTTCTCTCTTTCCTCCTGTCTTGTGAACTAGGCAAGGTGGCGGGAGGAAGGCAGCAGGAGTAGTAGTGGTCTCCTTCCTTAGAGAATGCTGTCGGCAATCAGGACAAGTTTTAATAATCATGCGAGCTTGAGTAAGTGTCAAATGAAACTTGTTTAAGACTGCGGACATTCTGATGAAAAAAAGCATGATCAGCTTGAGCTCGCAAAAAGGCAGGTGAATTTGCAAAGCACACGCATGGTCATACCAGAGCATCAGCTCGAGCGTTGCCTTCTGATAAGGGACCAGGGAACCCAGAATGAGAGCGAATATTATGTCTTGGTGAGGACAAGTTTGTAAGGCCAATATCTGGGCACCTAATTCCACCTGTTGCGTAGTTTTTAAAATGCTCCTGGATTTTGTGCTGCCAGTTCTGCATGGCATCTTGCCACATTACAGCTGCTTTTTCAGTTTTGGTTTTTTTTTTTTTTTGAGCCACCTGTAAAGACAGTGGTGGCATGAAGTAAAGGCTCAGAGACAACAATAGATACAAACTTAACAGGTACAGTTTGTAAAAAGTTCAGGAGCTTAGAGGCTGGTAAATGAAAGCTGATATTACCAATAAAGTCAGCAATAAAGCATAGCTACTTGCCAATCAAGATCATAAGCTAAGAAAGTATGAAATTGTTCCTTGCTTAAAGGTAGGAAAACAATAGCAGGGTCATATCCTGACAGCCAGATGCAACACTGGCATCCCTTTATGAGAAGAGAAGCTATTAAATCTGTAGTCTTTTGTGTATGTTTAGGGGGATTATGAGACAGGTACATAACATATAAAATACAGAAATGGCAAAAGATAAAGCCAGCTGTTAAACTAAGGCATGATATTTTAAGTAATTTTCACTATATTTTGGCCCTTGAAAGTAATTAGAATGTGACTGCAAGTCGCCAGGATAATAAACCTGCATTGAGTTAACCTAAATGTGTAAAAAAAAAAAAAAAAATACAAAAAACTTTTAAAAATGTCCTTTGGTGTTGGCCATTTTCCTGCAACAGCCTTTAACTGGAATGTCTTAGAAGTGAGCTTGGGAAAGTAGGGTTGTGGCTGGTTTCTTTTTATTCGTTCTGGGCTCCTTAGGCAGCTTCTCTTTTTAATAGCCTGCCACTTGTTGCTGTCCTTATCCTGAGAGGAAGGAAGGAAGACTACAAGTGGCAGTAAGAGGTTAGAGAATGACCGGGTGGTAAAGTGCGTGTGTAAGCGGGAAGGCTGGAGGCAAGAGGGTAACAGGCTGGGAGAAAACCATTCCCCGTATCTTCTAGGCCACCGACACCTGGAGCCAACCCTGTTAGGTAAGGTACTGAAAATATGCTGGGCTTTTTATTACTTTTACCACCCCCAAGCAGAGAGGCTCAGGGGAGGAGCAGACATGCAGCACAGGGTCTGCTTTGAAGTTTCTTAGCCACAGTGTTTTTAAACATTTTATAAAAAAGCAAAACAAACATTCCTTACTGCTGCGTCTATCTTCTGAAGATGACAACAGGTGGCAGATCTCGTCCACCTTAGCCTAGTTAGCATTTAATATGGCTACAGGAGAGCGCCCCTTACTAGCGGGCTCCTCCCCCAGGGCTCTGTCCTCTAGGCTGCTCCACACTCCTTTGCCCACCTTAGGCTAGTAAGGTCGGGGTGCACATGGACTGTTTCTTAGCCCTTTCCCTAGGGGGCCAGGGAAGACAAGGAATTGCTTGTCAACCGAGACATGTGAGGGGTGGCAGCGAAGGGCAGAAGTAGGAAAAGCAGCAGCACAGCAAGCAGCAGGCCACTTTCTGGGCGCAGTTACTAAGACACGTGATGGTGGTGAGGTGGATCCTCAGGACGGGGCTGGAGCTGCCTGCTCTGTGCTTTTTGGCCTCCCCTCTGTCACCACAAACCCAGAAAGGGGTAACCTGCCCAGACTGCCAGTGACCAAATGGGCACTACCTGGCATCTTAGCAACTCTGCTGCCGCAGGCCTCTGTGGGCAGCAAGAAAGCTAGAGCTAGCTGGGATAAAACCCAGGAAGTAGCATGCAACTTCCCCTTATACTCCAGAAAAACAGAAAAAAGACAAGGCCAGAAAGGCTGATGCTGGAAGTAGGAAATGGGAACTTGCATGTTAGGAAGACAATCATAATCACCCACTTTCCTTTACTCCTGGCGGCACCCCTCCAGCAGGGAAGTTTGTTGAGGAGGCGCCGCCACCCGATTATACCCACGTCGCTCACCAGGGGTTTTTATCTAAAAACTGTCCCTGGGGCAGCCTCCAGTCTCCTTAAGGGGGATGGGAGATGCTGTTGGCTGAACAGGGCCAACAAATGCAGGTCCCTTTAAGGGTAGAGGAAAGGAGGGCAATGGGTTTTCTATACGGGGAGGAAAAGGCTCCGGTCCGTCCTTATCCTCACTAGAAAAAATGTCCTCCTTAGGCCCCTCTACAGAAGGGACTGAAGTAGAGAGAGGAGCACCGCCCCGCCCCCGCTGTTCTGGTTCCTGTTTTTCCTCACTAGAAAAAATCTCGTTATTCACCATAGAAGGGAATGAAGTGGGGAGAGGAATCTCTCCCTTCAAATCTTCTGAATTCTTTTCAGGTGGAGATAATGGGCCGTCTAACCGCGATCTGACAGATAAAGAGGATACAACGCCCAGGTGGTCAAAATAGTAAAATTAGTAAAATGACCTTGCTCATGTCCTCTTTTCAGGCAGCGACCTACCTGCTCCCATAGCTCTAAATCTAAGGTTCCTTGATCAGGAAACCAAGGGCATTCCTGCCGAATTAAAAGCATGAGCTTGTGTAGAGCTCCAGGCTCTACAGTGCACTGGATAGCCTTAGGTAACTGTTGCACTGTTAAAAAATACTTTCTGTTCTTTGGTCATTTCCTGACCCACGGTAACCCAACCCCTGATATTTTACGTGTGGGTCGCGTCCTCCTGATGGGAGTCAGGACTGTCCCTTACCGGGATTCCCCCAAAATTGATGAGCTGGCCTCCTTCACACGGAACTTCAAGGCGATCATGTCGGGGCACCACTTGCAGAGCTTATAGCTTGCAATGAATGCCACGAATGAGTTCTCAGACAATTCCAGCTGAGCGGGGCAGGTGGTAACTCTTCTTTTTTTTATTATTATACTTTAAGTTCTGGGTTACATGTGCAGAACGTGCAGTTTTGTTACATAGGCATACACGTGCCCTGGTGGTTTGCTGCATCCTTCAACCTGTCACCTACCTTAGGTATTTCTCCTAATGTTATCCCTCCCCCAGCCCCCCACCCCACAACAGGCCCCAGTGTGTGAACAGACACTTCTCAAAAGAAGACATTTATGCAGCCAACAGACATATGAAAAGATGATCATCATCACTGGTCATTAGAGAAATGCAAATCAAAACCACAATGATATACCATCTCACACCAGTTAGAATGGGGGGTAGCTCTTCTAAGAGAGTCCGCCCCAGCATCTGTCCACCAAGTATTTATTGAAAGGGCTTGTTAAACCACAAACATCCACTAGATGGCTTTTTTGAGGTCAGGTCGTGAGGCACCTGTGGCCTTGTAAAAACACTCAAACTGCATTCTCAGGAGGCTGTTTTCAGCGTTCCTTATCACACCACACACTCCATTCCTTGTCCTGTTTTCAGGGTCAAGTTTCATTCTCATGTACAAATAACATACACACAGCGCCTCCGTATTTTTCCATGCCCCTTTTTCCATGCCCCGACCTCAAACGCCTTGTACATAAGCTTGAATATGTTGCCCTGCACCCCCACAGTTGGCATCACAGGCATGAGCCACCATGCTGGCCTATATTAGCATTATTATTACCACTTTCATTATTAACGTGTCTGTCTTCTTGATGTAA